CCCGCGCCGCGCCGCCCCGCCCCGCGCTCCCTCCTCGGGGCTCCATTACGCGGTCCCGGCATCTTCCTGTTTGTTCTCATCCCCGTCCACCCTGCTTTGCTCGCGCTCGCTAGTGGGCAGGGGAAGTTATCTCTTGGTCCTCCGGCCGGCAGTGCCCGGGGAAGCCCTGGCCCGTGCCGCCTTCCTCCTGTGGCCCGGGCGGGACCGCGAGCATCTTCCCGGAGCCCGCGGCCCGGGCCCGCGCGGGGGTCCTGGGCGATGTGCTCCTGTAGGAATGCATTCGCAGTGCGCGCTAGGCCGGCTGTTTCTGGTGTTGTCTTGTCTCGTGGAGAAGCCGGTAGTTTGGAGCTCACTTAGGGGCTTCCAGGCCCCACCCAGTGTGGAGGTCAGGGGTGGCAGTGGAGCTGGTGGCGGAGCTGTCTGTCCGGCCTGGAGCTCTGCTGTCTTTTCTCCCCTTTCCTCAGGGTCATTTTGGTTTTCGGAGCGCAGCGGGGTCGGGGAGGAAAGCACTGATGCCCCCAGCAGGGCCTCCCACCCGCTGTCCTTTGCTGTTCATCTCCAGAGCCACACTGGGGATCAGGCTAACTTCATGAATATCGTCTCTGTAGCCATTGAATAGAATTCGAACCCAGGCATGGTGGAGATCAAAAAGCCAAACAAAACCAACAAGCAGCTCTAAAACTCCACTTGAGTCATCTGCGTGTGCGACCTTGTTGCAGGCTCTGGAAGTTTGCTTTAGTGCCACCAAAAAGAGCTGAGGGTGGCATTGATGAAGGTGGTTAGGAGGGCCCAAGAAAACACTGCGGACTGGATTCTATAGCAGGAGAAACAAGGCTGAGGCTGCCACTTTTGTGTGTATATGTCATCACTAGCACTTGAACTCGGGTGCTGTCCCTTTTTTACACTCAGGGTTGGTACTCTACCACTTGAGCCACAGCTCTATATCTGGATTTTTTTTTTTTTGTCATGGGGTTTGAACTCTGGGCTTGGGCCCTATCCCTCAGCTCTTCAGCTCAAGGCAAGTGCTCTACCACTTGAGCCACAGTGCCACTTCTGGTTTTCTGCTGGTTCATTGGAGATAAGAGTCTCATGGATTTTCCTGCCTGGGCTGGCTTTGAACTGTGATCCTCAGATCTCAGCTTCCTGAGTAGCTAGGATTACAGGTGTGAGCCACTGACACCTGACACCGTATTGCTTTTTGCTGGCTAATTGGAGATACGAGTCCCACAGACATTCCTGTCTTCAAACCAGGATCTTCAGATCTCAGCCTTTTGAGTGTTAGGATTACAGGTGTAGGAGCCACTATCAACCAGCTACTTTTTCTTTTTCTTTCTTTCTTTCTTTTTTTTTTTTCTTCTGTCAGTCATGGGTCTTGAACTCTGGGCCCAGGCACTGTCCCTGAGCTCTTCAGCTCTTTAGTGTTCTACCACTTGAGCCACAGCACCACATCTAGTTTTCTGGTGATTAATTGGAGATAAGAGTCTCGCAGACTTTCCTGCTGGCTTTGAACGTGATATTCAGATCTCAGCCTCCTGAGTAGCTAGAATTACAGATATGAGTCACCTGGTGTTTGAACTCAGGGCCTTATAGCTTGTGTCCTTTTGTGTTCTTTTTTTATTTTTATTGTTTTGGCTGGTCATGGGGCTTTAACTCTGGGCCTGTGCACTGTTCCTGAGCTCTTCAGCTCAAGGCAAGCACTCTACCACTTGAGCCATAGTGCCATGTCCAGTTTTCTGGTGGTTTATTGGAAATGAGTCTCATGGATGTTCCTGCCCAGGATGGCTTTGAACCCCGATCCTCAGATCTTAGTCTCCTGAGTAGCTAGGATTACAGGTGTGAGCCACCAGTGCCCAGCCCACACTATCTTTTCTTTTTTTTTTTTGGTCTGGTCATGGGGCCGGAACTCTGGGCCTGGGCCCTGTCCCTCAGCTCTTTAGCTCAAGGCTAACACTCTACCACTTCAGCCACAGCGCCACTTCCAGCTTTTTTCTTTTTGCTTATGTGGTGCTGAGGAATCAAACCCAGGGCCTCAGGCATACAAGGCAAGCGCTCTACCACTGAGCCACCTTCCCAGCCCCCCCACACTATCTTTTTAAGTGGGGCTTCCAACTATGATCTTCTTGTGTATACCTCTTTTTTTTTTTTTTTTTTTGGTCTGGTCATGGGGCCTGAACTTTGGGCCTGGGCTCTGTCCCTCAGCTCTTCAGCTCAAGGCTAGCACTCTACCACTTGAGCCACAGCGCCACTTCCAGCGTTTTTCTTTTTGCTTATGTGGTGCTGAGGAATCGAACCCAGGGCCTCATGCATGCAAGGCAAGCACTCCACCACTGAGCCACCTTCCCAGCCCTGTGTATACCTCTTAAGTAGCTAGAATTACAGGTGTGAGCCACTGTGCCCAGCCAGCTGTCACTTTTCTGCCTGCCTGCTTTCCTTCCTTCCTTCTTTCCCTTTTTTTTTTTGTCAGAGACCAGGACTGAAACTTTAAGTCCCTGACGCTTTTGCTCATTAGCTGGCACTCGACCAATTGAGTCATGCTTTGAACTCCTAGCTGTCACTGTTGTGTTAACACCATGTAAGAGAACACACAGTTTCTGAAACTTTCTTGTTTTCTAAAACATTTTTCTTCTCTTTCTTTTACTTCAGACACATCAGGGGCTCAGAGTCAGGAAAGGGTGGGATGCAGCTCGCTGATGCCAGAGCACATGTAATCTGCCAGCCAGAGTGGCTTTTGCTGGCTGCCTCTCGTGGCCCATCCCAGAGAGGTAGGTTGGCGGAGGGAGTAGTATTAGGGAGGGGAGAAGAAAGAATGCTTTGCTGGTAGGTTAAGAATCTGGAGAAAACCCACAGTTTCCAACTCTGGCCCAAAGAGGACTTCTCCAGAGACCTAGGAAGGCTGGAGGAAGAGAATGGGGGCAGAGGATACGGCTCAGTGCCGAGCTCTAAAGTAGCAGGCAACAGCCCTGGCTTCCCTCCCAAGCTCCAGAGAAAGAGATACTGAGAAAATGAGAATCAGCACATTCGCGCGACGAGAGACCAACAAGGAAGTCAACCAGAGCTCAGCCAGCCTCCCGAGGGAGGCTGCTCTCTGGGGAAGAGGAGATGGCTCTGGGCATTACAGATGTGAGATGAGCCTCCAATGGCTGGCCGGCAGGGCTTTGTAAGCAGTGAGTGTGTCAATAATCTATGGGCTCCTTTTTGGCTTCATTAGTGAAAGTCAAGTGCTTTTGTTCTGTTTTTGCTGGCCCTGCAGCTTCAGTTCAGAGCCTGGGCACTGTCACTGAGATTAAAAAAAAATTTTTTTTGCCAGTCCTGTGGCTTGAACTCAAGGCCTGGGCACTGTCCCTGAGCTTCTTTTGCTCAAGGCTAGTGCTCTACCACTTGAGCCACAGTGCCATTTCTGGCTTTTTTTGTGCACGTGGTACTGAAGAATTGGACCCAGGGCCTCATGAATGCTAGGTAAGCACTCTACCACTAAGCCACATCCCAGCCTGGGTTGTTTTTTGTTTTTTGTTTTAATGGTTATTATAAAGGGATGGACAGAAGGGTGACAGTTACATAAGTCAAGGAAAAAGTACATTTCTTTTTCTTTTTTTTTTAATTTTATTTTATTTTATTTGTGAACATACTGTACAGAGGGGTTACAATTGCATGGGCATCTTTTTCTTTTTTCTGGGGTCCTGTCATGGGCCTGAACTCTGGGCCTGGGCACTGTCCCTCAGCATTTCAGCTCAAGGCTAGCACTGTACCACTTGAGCCACAGCACCACTTCCAGCTTTTTTTTTTCTTTTTGCTTATATGGTACTGAGGAATCAAACCCAGGGCCTCAGGCATGCAAGGCAAGCGCTCTACCACTGAGCCACCTTCCCAGCCCGTACATTTCTTTTTCTTTCTTTCTGTCGGTCATGGTACTTGAACCCTGGTCCTAGGTGCGGTTCCTGAGCTCCTCAGCTCAAGGTGAGTGCTCTACCACTTGAGCCACAGCGCCACTTCCAGTTTTCTTGTGGTCTCATGGACTTTACTGCCGGGCAGATCTCAGCCTCCTGAGTAGCTGGGATTACAGGTGTGAGACACCAGCGCTCAACAAGAGCACATTTCTTTCTGGACAGTGTCGTCCCTTCCCTCCCTCCCTCCCACTTTTTCCCTCCTGTCCCCACATACAAGTTGTACAGTTAGTAGCACTGCTGCGTTTGTTCACCCTCCCAAAGCCAGAGAAACAAACAAAGAAGACAAAAAGAAAGGAAATAGTAACAAAGGGAAAAAACACCCTCTTGTTTCTATTTCCTGGAGTTCGTTTAGATAGATATCATTTCATATGATCAGATGCACATAGCGTTGCGCCTCTGGGTTCCTCTCCTAAGCGCATCCCCCTTCGGTCTCACTGTGTGTGGATGCCTAGAGTCCTGTATAATTCTTCATGACCCAGTGTATTTTAGATCTAGCTTCTGCATACGAGAGAAAACATGCATTGTTTGTCTCTCTGAGCTTGGTTTGCTTCACTTAACATGATTTGTTCTAGGCCCATCCATTCCCTACTAATGACATAATATCCCTGCCAACATTTGTTATCCGAATCCATGATGTTGGCAAATCTAGCTGGGTGAGATGGACTCTCAGAGTTGTTTTGCTCTGCATTTTCTTTATGGCTAGGGATGATGAGCATTTCCTCCTGTGTTTCTTTGCCGTTCTCACCTCTTCTTCTGAGAAGTCTCCCCTTCGCTCCCTTGCCCATTTAGTGATTGCTTTATTAGCTTGGGGAGGGGTTAGTTTCTTGGTTTTGTTTTGTTTTGTTTTTTGGTGTTGTTGTTGGTGGTGGTGGTCATAGGCCTGAACTCTGGGCCTGGGCGCTGTCCCTGCACTCTTCAGCTCAAGGCAAGCACTCTACCGTGTGAGCCACAGCGCCACTTCCAGTTTTCTAGTGGTTTATTGGAGGTAAGAGTCTCACGATCTTTCCTGCCTGGGCTGGCTTTGAACCTGATCCTCAGATCTCAGCTTCCTGAGTAGCTAGGATGACAGGTGTGAGCCTCTGGTGCCTGGCGTGGCTCTCTTTTTAGTTTAGTAACTAGATGTAAAATTTAGTAACTAAATGGAATTCCATTTGTCAAGTCTTTCTCCCAACTGCTATGCCCCTAGGACTCTTTTTCTTGCCTACTGCTCTGACTAGGAATTCCAGAACCATATAGAAGAGGAGTGGAGAGAGTGGGCATCCTTGCTTTGTTTCTGAAAATGGAACCCAGGGCCTTGCTCATGCTAGCCAGTTGCTTTATCTGCCACTGAGTTACATCTCCAGACTCTACAAGTTCATTTCCTAAGACATTAAAAGTTGCAAATCATGCTGGCACCGGTGGCTCACATCTGTAATCTTAGCTACTCAAGCAGGCTGAGATCTGAGGATCACAGTTCAAAGTCAGTCAGGGCAGGAAAGTCCCATGAGACTCTTATCTCCAATAAATCACCAGAAAACCGGAAGTGGTGTTGTGGCTCAAGTGGTAGAGCGCCCGCCTTGAGCTGAAGGAAAGCTCAGAATTCAAGCCCCCACATGGAAAAAAAACAAGTTGCAAATCAGGAAATATCAGCATTGTTCTGTTATTTACATATGTAAAGATACTCAGACATAACAGAAATTTACTGCAAGTTGTATGTATAGAAGGGAAGTCTGGAGGCTGCTGTTTTCTATGAGTTTTAATGTTTGTTTTGTTTTGTGGGAATGAGGGTTGAACTCAGGGCCTCAAACTTTCTAGGCAAGTATTCTTTTTCTTTTCTATCTAGGAAAGTATTCTAACCGCTGAGCCAGGCTTCCAGCCTTAATATCTTTCCCAGGCTGGCTTCAAATGTATACTCTCCCCTCCTCTGCTTCCCAACTTGCTGAGGACAGACATGATTACCACCATGTCCACTAAACTTTAGATTTAATTGATTTGTTAAATAATATGCCTGCATAATTTACATAAAAAGCAAAGTTACATTCATATTCATCAATAATATAACTTTTTTGTTTTTTTCCTACTCTTTCTGATGTAAGCATGTCCCAATTATTGTAAGCACATTTTTATTATCACTATATAGATGGTATATAGAGGGGTTACCATTAC